CCGCGCCCTCCTCGCGGCGATGCGGGAGGTGTGTGGGAAGGCGGGCCTCCTGACGGGGGTCGACTCCACCTTCGACGACCCCATCGGGCGGCGGCGCCTCGTCAAAGTCGTGTGGCCAACCGCGGAGGAGACGCCCCCGCTAAGTAGCAGCGGCGGGGGGGGAAAGGGGGGAGGGGGAGCGACCTCCGATGCCTCCGCCCGACGGCCCGCGGGGGAGCGACTTGTCAACGGCGACCCCCCCCCCTGAGGGCGGCGGTGGGAAGGCGGAGCCCCGTCGAAAAGGCCCCACAAGCCGAGAACTCAAGATGGAGGCCGACAAAAAGTACGAGGATGCGGAGTACGCGATCGCGATTGAGTTGTATACAAAGGCGATCAAGCTGCAGCCGCTAGACAAGGCCACGACGCTCAGTAACCTCTATGGCAACCGAAGCGCGGCCTACTTTATGGGTCAACGCTATGTGGAGTGCATCTCTGACTGCCTGGAGGTGGCCCGCCTCGAACCGAAGAACTCGAAGAAGATTATTTCCCGTGCGGCCTCCTCCGCCGCGGTGATGGGGGACCTCTCGCAGGCCATCGAGCTCCTTGAGAAGATACCGCCTGAAGACCTCACAGAGGGGATCTCGATCGAGCTCAGCAAGTATCGGAGCGGGCTCGACATTTACAAACGCGCCGAGCGAGATTTCGGCACCCCCGACGGCGACGAGTTATACCGCATGTTGGTCGCGCAGTTCAGCGGTACCGTCCCCTTCCGCGTGCGCTACGCGGAGTCGTTGATGAAGCAGAAGCACTATGCGAAGGCAGTGGAGGCGCTTGAGGTGGTCACCTCCTCCGCGAGGACAGCGCAGCTGTGCAAGATCATGGCAATCTGCTTCTACCAATCTGGGTTCGAATTCTTCGAGCGCGCGCGGTCGTGCTTGGGAAATCCCTCCAAACACGACCCGGACTGCGCAGAATTGCTCAAACTCATCGAGCTCGTTGAGGAAGCTAAGCAAAAAGGCAACCATGCTTTTTCGACCAAAGAGTTTTCCACGGCTGTGGCACAGTACACCGCTGCTATTCAGCTTGCCATGGATAATGATCAAATTCTTCGAATTCTATACTGCAATCGCGCGGCTGCGCAGAAAGAGCTAGGCAATTATCGCGATGGCATTACTGACTGCTCTAATGCCATCTTGCTAGACAAGGATTTTTGCAAAGCGTATGTACGTCGTGCACGGTGTTACCAACACCTAGGGGAGCATTTCGCCGCAGTGCAGGATTTCAAAAAGGCGTTGGAGTATGACCCTTCCAACCGTGAGTTAGCCAAGGAGCTGAAAGGCGCGGAGTACAATCTCAGCAAGGAGTCTGAGCTGGAGAAAGACCTTTATTTCCAGTTAGGCTTACCGCGTACAGCCACAGACCGGGAAATCAAAGCCAAGTATCGCGAGCTGTCGTTGCGATGGCACCCAGACAAGTGCATCGGCTTAAGCACAATCGAAAAGGAACGATCAGAGCACAAATTCAAACTCATTAGTGAGGCCTACGCCACACTGATCAACCCGTCTAGGCGACGGGACTACGATCTAAAAATGGACCGTGAGCGTCTTTCCCGCCCCGGCATGTATGGCAGCTTTTCAGCCACGTACAGTAATTCAGGAGAATACTACCGAAGTCAAACTCGCCACCGTTCGGGCCCGGGAGGCTTCTGGTAAAGCGATGTCCCGAAAGCTCGTAGGACGTTAAATCCACAATCGTACAGGTATCGCCACGAAGAATACCTCCTCTTCCCACTGTCACACACACGCCGATGTCCGATATTCCCCCCACCCCCCACACACTCGGTGCGGAATGGGAAACGCATGATCGTTGTATATCCCTTTGTGCTTAATGATGCAATGCTCTTGATCTCATGGATTTCCTGATAAAAGGCATGTTCTTTCCTTCACGGGTTACTTCTTGCTACATAGTATTTCTGCGTATTCATTAATTTAGGAGGTAAACAGAGGCGGTGTGGGTGATTACACTCACCTTTTTGCTACCGTCGAGATTGCATCGATCTCTAAAGATTCTTTTTTTTGTTTATTGCCTTTGCGAATGCTGTTTTTTTTTTTTTAAGGGGAGGGCATGGGGAGATTGGGCATTTTAAAAGGATGTGTTACAGCTCTGAAATACTCATGTGACTAGGTAATGGTCTAAAGGGGAAATGAAAGGTAGAGTCGCGACGTTTTATGTTCCCACTCATGTATAAGGGTAATGGTGGGAGGCGCGGATGATGTATTTTTTGTATTTTACTTCACAGGAATAGCGAGCTTAGATACACAAAACGAGGGTATCAGGAATGCAGCTTAATTCTGAAGCGCGCAGACTTTCTAGGCTCTTATTTAGTTGCGAGAGCAATTTCCTATTTATTTTACTAGAAGCATGATATGATTTTTTTCTGCATTTTTCTTCTTATTTATTATTTGTACCATCTAGAGTTTTTTTCCGAGGGCCAATTGAAAAGCTGAGGTTGGCAAAAAAGCGCAGTCAATTATGGCTCTAAAGATGAGGAAACACAGATGCATTCAATTCTTCAATGGATTTATTTTTTTGAATTCCCTTTGACTGGTGACCTAAACTATAGAAGTATAACACACTCCTAATGTGAGGACATCGTCTTGATGAAAATGGTAGGGTGGGAAGGGAGGAATGCACCGGTTCTCACCTGTCTCAATTCGCATTGTTAGTATCTATTTTCATCCTTGTATTTCGACTATTCTAACCGATGGTTTATTAGTTTAGGAAGTGTTTTCATTTCAGAAGTTTTATACATTGCTCGATATTCTTTATCTCTGTGATTTTTTCGTCGTTGAAGCCATTCAATATTGCCTAATTAAGCATGTCCCTCATTCTTTTGTCACTTATAGCGATCCTTGGATTCTTTGCCCTATTTTATGGCTTCCTCCTCCAAGTTAGGAGGCGCATTATGGGCTACCGGGACGCGCGCCTGCAAGCCGCAACGCGGTCGGGTATGTCATCTACCTCGGGTGGGAGCGGTGTGCGCTCGGGGAAGCGCATGCTGAAGGTTGTCATCGTGCATATGAGTTTGTTCATCGGAGGGGCGGAGCGGCTGATCGTAGATGTCGCCCTAGCCTTAAAGTATCATCAGCGCAAGGTCCCTATGGAGGTGGTTATCGTGACGACGGAGCACCCCCGGGAGAGGTGCTTCAAGGAAACGATAGATGGCTCGTTGAAGGTGGAGGTGTGCGGCTCATTTTTGCCCAGAAAACTTTTTGGGAAGGGTGTTGTGTTTTTCAGCACACTGCGTATGTGGTATGCTGGTTTGGTCGCCTGTTGGGTTCACCCCGACGTCGATTGCTTTTTTGTGGACGACGCCGCTAACCTGGTGCCGCTGTTGCGGTTCTTGGCGTGCAACATCCCCATCATCTTCTACTGCCACTTCCCCTCTCTGCTCTGCGATTCCAACCGCGTTGTGGATGAGGCGATTTTCAGCGAGACATCATTGGAGGCCTCCACGGGAGGGGTGCCACCTGGGGCTCCCCAATCGGCCGCGTTCTCCCCCTGGCAACGTTCGAGCGGAGACGGTGTTGCCGTGAAGAGGCTATCCCTGTGTCACAAAATATACTGTGATTTTTTTGACTGGGCTGAAGAATGGTCGTTGAGGTGTGCGACGAGCATCGTGTGCAATTCAAAGTTTACGCGAATGGTGACCCTGCGCGTCTTCCCCACGCTCGCCGGGAGGATCGACGAGAGGGATATCTTTTACCCTCCTGTGGCACTGCCGGCGGCGGTTGGCGAGCTCAAGGGTGATTCACCAGACCCCGATATCATTGATGTGTCTCTTGCGAAGAAGCTGGAGGAGCACACTGTTTTTTTCAGCATCAATCGCTACAACCCGAAGAAAAACATTGGCCTCGCCTTGCAGGCCTTTGCTCTGCTTCTGAAAGACCCCTCCGAGCTGGAGGGGTGGGCGAAGCCCCCGCTTCTCGTCATCGCCGGCGGTTACAACTCCGATGCCGCGGCGGACGTCGCGTACATGGACGAGCTTCATCAGCTTGCGTTTGTGGAGCTGCGGCTTCCACGGGATCGTGTGTTCTTCCTGTACAACATCCGCGATGAGGTGAAGTCGCTGCTGCTGCGGCAGATGCGGGTGCTCCTGTACACCCCGTCGAACGAGCACTTCGGGATCGGACCGCTGGAGGGGATGGTGCTGGGGAAGCCCGTCATCGCCGTGGCGCTGGGGGGTCCACTGGAGAGCATCGGCACCGGCGACGACGCCGCTGGGGTGCTCTGCGCGCCGCAGCCGGAGGCCTTCGCCGCGGCGATGCGGCGCCTCGGCGGCGACGACGAGCTCTGCCGCCAGCTGGGCGAGCGCGGCAAGCGGCGCGTGGCGGAAATCTTCAGCATGGATGCCTTCGCTGAGCGGTTGGTGAGTCGGGTGCACGATCTGTGTGCAAGGGAGCATAAAAAAGCCGTGTGAAGGGTAATGAGTCGCTCTGGAAGGAGTTGATGTATTTAAAAGATCAAAAAAAAACGTGTGTGTAGCCTATATTTTTTAGTAAATTTTGTAGGTTAGTATTCTTTGTCTACCATTCTTTTATTTGGATCGGACTTCGATTTCGATGTCCTAGTGACGGGGCAAAGTATTAATACACCTGCGGGTGTTTTCTTAGTTAACATCGGCCTAATTCCTAATAGTAAAGGTAATGGTTCAGCTTGGAACGTTATAGTGTTCAATTTTACGTTTCCATATTCTGCAATATCGTAAAGGGTCGAGTGTGTGGGGGGAGCAGGTTCTGGAGCGAATCGTGCAGCTGGTTGAAGCATTGGTTTAAATATATACGTCAATCTTGTCTCGTGATGTAAGTCTTATTTTTTTTTCCCAGAGATCCGGATTCTAGCGAAGGAACAAGTAAAATCATCCTTGCTTGTTTATCATTAGTGCTTATATTTTATCCAAAAGACAACACAAGGTTATCTTCCAACTTTTACTATCTGGAAGAACACTACCGCGAAGCGGCTGCCTGCTAATCATGCTTGATTCGATTCCTCGTGCGGTAAGGCAAGTGGCTTTACCAGAATCCGACTGTAAGAACCTCTTTTTATGTTCTTTAACTTCTAAAAGCATCCTCGAGGTCATCCCTATTGATGCTCTTGCGGCTCTTTCCGAGGCAGAGGCATCAGAAAAGGTGGAGGATGTTTCTGCAGCGGAGGCTGGCTTGACTAGCCAGCAGGGTGAGGACGTCAAAATCAGCCCGCCCAGAGAGAAGACGCAAGATGAGGAATGGAAATTGGTTTACGATTTGATGCGCGCAGACAAGCGTGGAATTTTTTTTCTGCGTGAACACGTGTCCCGCTTTATGGAGAGTCTTGAGACGGTATCCCCGTACCCTTTGCCATCCTACGCGCGCGATTTCATCCAATCGTGCTTGCAAGAGTATGCGACCGTCCCGAACGGGGGTCACAATCCAAATCTATCGCAGGAAAACGCGACTTTCGAGGAGGATCAAAACCTGAAGGTTGTTATGTGGCTTAAGCCTGGGGCTTGTAGCGCTGACTGCGCGTGCCCGCCTGGAGAAAAGCCGGACCAATTGTTGTTCATCATATATTTCATCAAGTCCTTTTTCCCGCCACCGGAGTGGTACGTGGAAGGCACCCAGTTCGCGCTTCTCTTCAACGCCCGTCGCCAAAATCCTCGCTTGAAGGTCATGCAACCACAATTAATCCATCGCGTGAAGCAGCTAAGGGAAAGGAGCGGGGCCTTTGAAGTCATGCTGGTTCATGATGAGACGAACAATTTCCTGGTTCCAGAGAGCTCTCGATCTAATTATCTACTAATTAGTGAATCGGGAAAGATTCTATGCTCTGAAAAGGATCATATTCTAATGGGTGTTACCTTGATTGCAACTAACCGGGCTGCTGTACGTGCGGGATTGAGTCCGATTGAACATCGTAATCTGACGCTGAAGGATGTTTGTAGCTCGTATTCCTTGGTTATGCTTGGAACGAGTCCTGGGGTTCTTCCTGTACGGGAGTTATTGCTTTTCTACGATGCGGAATCTAAGGCGAATTTCTGTGCTGCAGCTATATTTCTCGGCATTGAATTTGAGCGAATGAAAAATTTTAAAACTATCTCGTCTGATCCCCCAAGGGCCGTGATAGAGTTTGCCGTCCAAAGTAATGTGATTGATCGACTGATGAACGCTTATGAAGAGGAAAAATTTTTGTAACTCTATAATAGGTAGTATATAAATAAAAGTTGATAGAATGCTCCCTCTTTATTGGGCCTGAATTCATTTTTTGAAATGTGTTATCATTTAAATCATTTTTTCCCTTTATGGTTTTTCTTTTATCAAATATGTGTGTGGGGTAGAAATCGAATATATATATGTTTTATATATTTTTAGTACACACACTTAAGTTCTTTTTAAAGATATTTAATGGTGAGGGGTAACTTATTTATTACTATTTTAGAAATAAATATACTTCACTACGGTGACAAAAATCAGAGTGCATTAATAAATTCAGATAAACCGAATAGTTGGAAAAGGTTTCTTGTTACTATTATCAAATGATTAAAAACGTTATTAACGAATAAAAAATTTTATTAAACCCTCAGCCATTCTCTTTCTCTTTCGCTTACCTTTTGTTATGGCCTACAAATTGGTCAGTAGCTTCGATTACCCGAAGTCACCTCCATTTTTATTTATGCTGTATATGCATCTTTCTCCTATTTTGTTTGACCTGCTTCTTTTGAGCTATTCTTGTCACTTTATGTTGGTGGCGCTAGTGACGTAGCCAACACAAAGGCTAATAATCAGATGCTGAAGCGCAGTGGATGGCTCAAGATGATGGAGGGGGAACGGAAGTTCAACTTTGTCGGGGAGGCACCCATCCAAGGTGCTGGTGGAATGCCCTTTTACGGCAACCTCTACGCAGGTCGTGTAGAAAGTCAGAACTATCTTCCGCCGCGCCAGGGTGGATCCTCTTTGCTTGAAAAAGGAGGCTCCCTTTGGGAGGATTCTGCAGTGCGGGCTAAAATCGAGAGGTGCCCGTACTTTGCGTTGTGTGATCAGGTGCTCTACCACAACATGGATCCCGCCTATTTAGATCCTGGGCTTCTCACCAAGGAGGAGCATCACCTCCTCCTCCTTTTTAGTCGCGCGTACTATGAAAAGTGGAGGGTAATTCACGAGAAGCCGCCGACTGGTTTGCCACGCATTCGCATCCCATACGGCAGGACGCAGGTTCTCGATGAAATCCTGAGCCTGCTTAAGGTCTCGCCCGCGGTAGCAGAGACTCTCAAGAAGGATTACCTCCTGGATGATGCGAGCCTAATTGCGATGAATCCGCGTTGTTGGGATACAGCCTACCTCGATCCTTTCAATATGGACCACTTTTCAGGGAGGGTTCTCGAGTTTGGGGATATGCCAAAATCGCAGCGGGATCGGTTCTTTTTGGTTTTGGACCAGATGCGGCGGATCGTCGTCGAGCGCAGGGATACGATGGACTCCAATGGCGGTGTGCCCGAGCGGCTCGTGCTGCCCTTCGTGAAGGGGGTGACGCTGTACGACTTGTACAAGGAACTCGACCTACCGCCGTACTCCGGGCAGTTGAAGGTATATGATTTAGTCGATAGACGCAATACGAAGCTTATTCAAACGCTGAAGGATGAGGATACATACTTTGACTTTTTGGTTCTTTGCTTTTTCAAGCCCAATCTTCGTCAAGCCGTGCTATCGGAGGATCTCGCAGACGAGGTGGACCATACCTGCCGTTACACCATTACTGTAGAGCCTTTTACAACCAAGGAACGGCGAGTTGGTCGATGGTTTTAGTGTAGTTGAAAATATTATATGTAGGGTCTGTTTCTACTTGAGAAGTCGCCAAAAATTATACTTAGGAAATTGTATAGCTGATTGGGACTTAATTTCATTGTTGCTGCATCTTATAAAAAGTTGTATCAGCACCCAATGCGGAATGTAAGCTTTTCATTTCCTTTTCTATGTTTCTGACATGAAATTCAGTGGTAAGGATAAAAATACGAGGGATAACATACCTTTTTTTGGGTTAGACATTTCAGAAATAGCTATCGGAGTAGAACCGCTTTCGCAGCTTGTGAGACGCATACACTATATTATTTCACATTATATGCACAGATATATACACATACACAAGTCATAATCTTCATTTGATCTTTGCTAATATTTTCGATGCAGGGTTGGACTCGCAGTACTACCGGTGGTTCCACTGGACATACTGCAGGGATGGTTCGCACGACAGCTCCGACGAACTCGGTAGCACCACCGCCAGCCGCCCCACGCCGCCGTTTTCAACTCACAGAAGAGCAGCGACAGGAGATCCGTGAAGCCTTTGAGCTTTTTGATTCCGACAAAAACGGACTGATTGATGCTCACGAAATGAAAGTCAGCATGCGTGCTCTAGGGTTTGACGTGAAGCGTGATGAGGTGACGCGTCTGATGCAGGACTGTGCCGCACGAGATCAAAATGGTCAGCCCTTAATGGATTTGGCAGGATTCACTGATATCATGACCGAAAAATTTTCCCAAAGAGACCCAAGGCAGGAAATGATCAAAGCCTTCCAGCTATTTGATGAAAATAACACAGGTAAGATTTCACTGCGCTCGCTACGTCGAGTGGCGCGGGAGCTTGGTGAGAACATGAGCGATGATGAGCTGCAGGCTATGATCGACGAGTTCGACACAGACCAAGATGGGGAGATAAATCTGGAGGAGTTCATGGCGATCATGTTGGAGGAAGACGACTACTAATGAGTATCCTAAAACCAAAAAAAGAAGAAAACAGTGTCCAACTCAACAAGAGGAGCGCTTGTGAAATTCTAGAACTCATGGTGAGTTGCTTTTCTTCCCTATAGACGAATAAATTAATACAAATGTTCCATTTACTTTACAAGTTGCTATATATTTTCAATCGTGCACCCTTATTCGTTAGGGTAAAATGTTATTTGGGGCGATAAGTCGAGATGAAGAGCATAGAATAATTCACCTCATTTTATAATAAAATCACAACAAAATATAGGGTGAGGGTAGATTCGTTTCTATTGAATGTTGTTAAATTCATGAAGTACCACAAAAAATTAGTAGACCATGCCCTTTGGTATATATTTTGATTTCTTTTACCGGGTCTTTTTCTAAGAAAATTTTGTAGGAGTTTTCTTTATTCTTTAAGTTGCTTGACAAGATATACACTTTTTTTCTGTTAGTTTGCACTGTCCTTCCTTTTTTTTTTCTAGTCCCCGATGGAGAAAAAGGGAACCAATAATAAGTTGACTCAACTTATTATGAAAGTTATGAAGGGCATCAAGTCGAAGGGTGCGGCTGAATTTTTTTCAGCGAAAAACGATCATGTTTGCACACGTAGATGCAGCGCGGTTAAATGTTGCAAGCTAGTAAAATCAGAACCGATAAATATCGATAAAGGCAATAGAAGCAAGGCACAAAATCTGATCGATTATTCACTAAGTGATTCAGACAATGAGGACGTCCAGTGCATTTCCTCGAGTGTGCTCTCTGATCCTATGCCGTCCTCCTTTAGGCACTGCAACGGCGATGGCCTGCTTTCCAGCTTAAAGGGAGCGGAGGGGACCCCGCTCGGGACCGGGAGCCCTTTTCCGAGCTCCTCCACCTATTTTCATACGACCATCAGCAAGACCGACCCCCCAGGGGCGATGGCGAAGTGTAGGCTCTCCCTCAACGACGACGGCGAGGCCTTTCTCGTGCCGACGGAGGAGTCGAGTCCGTCGGGCCGGCGGCCGGAGCCCCCCGCAGCGGACCTCGCCGGCCGCGTGAGCTACTGGAAGCTGCCGTGGTCGCAGCCGCGGGTGGTGATGTGCGCGTACTGCAACCGCCCCCGCCGGCCGGGCCTGGAGCCGGGCGAGGAGCCCGCCGACGAGGCGAGGACGCCCCGTCACGCGGACGACCTCGAGGAGGCCGTCGAGGAGGGCGTGGGGTCGGGGCAGCAGTGCCACTGCCACCTCGGGGAAGGGGGGGCGCGGGGGCGGGCCGCGAGCCACTCCGCGGCGGACCCCCCGCCGGTTTTCCTCGCCGTGACGCACCCGCCTACGCCGTCGGCCGGGCGCGCGTCCTCGCCTCCTCGGCCTCTCGACGT